AATTTTGAATTGTTACACAATTAATGAACTTATTAAAGACTAAATCTTTTATTTGATGTATTTCCGAATATGGATAAAATGAAATCAGACACAATTAAATATTTATATTACGCAATGGGTTATCTGCTAGCCAACGGCTGAGTAAGCACAGGAGCTGTGGGAAAGTGAGTTTTCAATGCAGTCCGCGTCGAGGTTATATAACGGGGACCACAATGGCAAAAACCAACTTAGTAGCACACTACTTAGAAAACCAGTTAGGAGTGCATGACTCGCGAGACTGTGGCCAAAGATGAAATTTAGAGGCTAAACTTGAAGCCCTGCTGCCCACTGTCGATGAAGGAACCCTTGTCAATTTCCGACCCTGTGACGGCTCAAAAGAAATACATTCTTTGAAATAAGAAAAGACATGTGATTTTGATGGCATTTCAAATTAATGTGTCCGGCATCTTCCAAGAAGACCTCTTGTGCATTTAACACATTTATTTAATCACCGACTTCGGCTTGACCACTTCACGGCACCCGGCAAAGGGCCGAGATTTACCCAAAATTGACGTCCGATAAGAACAAACCAAAAACATTCTGACTCTGTATACCTCAGTACAGTGCAGTGACACAGAGCCCACAGTGACCTGGACGCTCTGACAGCGCGGATATGCTCGTGCTGACACTACGGTGCAACAAACATAGCGCCTAAGTAGAAAGACCTAAGGGGGTGGCACCCAGCCTCCTAACCAATGGGTACCGGGGGCTCTTTCCCCGGAGGTAAAGCGGCCGGAGCGTGACGCTGACCTATCACTTTCAACTAGTGCAGAAATAAAGAAAACATGGATCTATACATGCACTCCCCCATTATTAGTTAAGCACAGGGACAAATCTACTTTAATAAGAATTTTTTGTCAAGGCCGTGAATACATATTTATATGTGTAAGTCCGGTGTTGGGCCGCGCCATAGCTCAAGCAGTTAGTCGCTGGCTTCTCACCGGGGCGGTCCGGGTTCGATCCCGGGGTCTGATCAAGTGGGATTTGTGGTGGACAAAGTGGCGCTGGGGCAGTTTTCCCCTGCCAATCTTCATTCCACCAATTGCTCCACAGTCACCCTCACCTATCATCTGGGGCTGGTACAATAAGCCAGAAGTTGCCGCAGTACAAGGGACTTAGTCCCACCCCACTAGCAATAAAAAAAATCCGGAGTTCTTCCCCGGACTCTGTGCATTTACAGGAATTTGGTTTGCTGCTGAAATTTTCACACACTGTTCGACTCCGTCGGCGTGGCCTCTGGCACACGAAATTTGTGCTCCCGTTTCCTTGTCACTCCCACACACGTGAGGAGTTTACAGAGCACAAGGCACGCTAGTCTCATGCAAGTAGAAAGCGACAGCAGGTGCCACATGTGTTCAAATTAAACGTTTGAAGAAGAGAGAAACGAAATCGTTTCCTTTGGCGATGCATAGCACGAAATCGCCGTCCGCAGAGGAGCCAAGCTGAGGAAACTCCAGATGCGGTATAGGCCCTGCAATGCGCCGTGCTGGAGCTTATAGTGATGTGGTGCTCTCATTCTGAAGCACTGGAGAAAGCTACTCAGTGCATTTCATAACTTTCACTGCATGCAAATGGAGACTGCATCTAGACGACTCTGTACGTGTATGAGCGTCAGTTTGAAGACATGCTTCAGCCTGTTTTGTGCTTTCACATTTATTTCCCCATAACTCCTGGTCCATTCTCTTCAGCGGTTTAGGTACGGTTTGAGGGTTTCAGTCTACCTAAACATTAAAAATATTTGAGAGTGGCGGTAATAAATACAAATAATAATGAGCATAAATATAAATCGCTTTCACGCAAAAATCCAGAGAATGCTTAAATTTGAGGCTTTCACGTCTGTTACTATGTGGCGCCGTGTAGATAGTGTAAACCAACGTTTCGGAGGAACGTATCGCCTCCACCTTCATGGTATAAAAATCCGCGAGCGAGGAACCAGCTTGAGCAAGTGGCTACAGGTCTGGACGGCGTCACATCCCAGAAGAAGGCATTCTTCAATGCTTACATTAATGAGGGGAACACCTGCTGCTACTCAGCTTAAACTCTTGTGTATAGCCGTCGCCTATAAACAGGTTTAGGAAGTAACACGCAAGTGCAGAACTAACGTCTTTATACCCGTGCTGCTCAACCTAGACTGAGTGTGCATGGGAAGAGGGTGCTTAAGAGAATATTTGCAACATGCAACAGAAGGTAGCAGGAGACTGGAGAAAAATGCGTAATGAGGAACTTCGTAATCAAGTAAGTTTGCGCTGTTGCGTGCTATTGCATAATTTGACCGACTGAACGATGTCACGTGCACAGTCACGCAGACGTATATTTACCGACAGAGTTAGCAAGTGGGCAGTTTGTTTCAGCACATTGGGGCGGAAGATGGCTCTGATGTGCTGCAACATATCGCTTACTAATTAATTCTGTTCGTAAACGTAAGTTATGTGACTGTCAGGTGGCCTACACTTTACTGTTTAATTAGTACCCTTCGCCACGCACTATTAGAACGATTAAGTGAAGATATCTGGGGCATGTAGCACGCACGGAAAATGCATAAAGCAATTTTGTTGGGAAACGTGAATGGATCAGAGCTCTGGAAGGCCTAGTAACGCACCTCTGACAGACATGGACCGGAAGCAGACGGTGAGGGAGCTGGGAGTAATTTCCGACCAGCTCCGTGACGATTTGCTTCTCAATGTTGTCTCAGCTCCATTGGTTTGTTAATTTCGAGGCCGTGTAGAATTTAAAGAGAATTTTGTGCCATATTTCTCCCATAAGTGCTGCTGACTGCAGTCTGCTACCGCCCCTTGTCTAGGATCCGAGGCGATCAGCGTTTGATCCGTGTCGTTGCAATCCGTGCCGATGCAAAATCACGACCACATGTCAGAATTCGAGCCCGCGGTCCCAGAATTTGAGTTGCCCTGGACCATGCAGCAGTTATGAAGAGCCGTTCTCGTCGTTACTGCGAAGAAGTTACTAACATATGCAATTTGGATTTTCTCCAGCGTTTTGCAATGTATGCCCCACGAATCAACAAACTCTATTGCAGCAGCCACAGGGAAGTCCTGCTTTATTTCCAGACTCAATATTGACATGAACTTCCGGGTAGAACTCACGACATTTCGCTTCGCCCTGTACAGATTCTGAGAAGTTCCATATTCTGGTTTATATACGTACATATATATCGGCCGTTGACGTTTAAGCGACGTTTCGAAGAAAGATGTTGCCTCTATATTCAGGGTCGAGCAGAGGTTGCTATTCTTGCTTGGCTTATTCTCCAACTCTGGAGATGGAGGCGGAATGTTTCTCCGAAACGTCCGTTAACTTTCAACAGACTAGACGGCGTTACATCCCAGAAGACAGAAACTCTTCTTAATCACAGCTGTGAAAAACTAATCGGTATACAAATATACCTTAAAGGTGAAATTAGTGCTGCTATGGATTTTAATGCAAATTATATAAATATAGAAATGCATGTGTAAAGAAGGGTAATTTATTCCGGTTCATTCTTTATAAGTAAAGATGTATTCGTTTTAAATGCAGAAAATTTGTATTTTGTGCATAATCCAATCGGTTTATCGTAACTGATGATAAACAAGACTCCTGTTTCCTAGGATTATATCTGAAACCCATTTTTCATTAGTTGACAGCTGAACGGAGGTTCTCTGTAATAGAGAGGTCACATATTTTCATTTCTTTGGCGCAATAATACGAAGGCCTGATTGGTATACTAACTGTTTGCGTTCTTCCAAACATTGTAATCGAACAGATAAGTATTCGGAGAATTTTGTGGCCATTCTATGAAGTTGACAAATTCGAGTATATCTTCATTCAACACTTCAAAAAGGGAGCGATTTGAATATAAAAATGTCTGTTTCTGTGTAAGGAGTAAGCCGAACTGAACAAACATTTCTACGCACATACTAAGGCATGTTCTACCAAGCTTTTATGTTTTTTGTCCAGATCCGTGGATCCCCCATACCTATCACCTCTCTTTTTAAAAAGTCACATTTTCAGGGGCCACCTGGTGCATGCAACGTCTACTAACCCTGATAACAGGCGTAACGCCATGCATGACGGAAACGCTATATATTTCAGCCCTCTTGACATGTAAAGTACCTACTGTCTGTGAGCGAAACAGCAGCATTCAGCGCGTGGTGTTGTTCCACTCTTGCAATCACGGCGTAGGGCTCGTAACAAATCGCGTATATGCGGGAACCCAGCGCGTAAATAGGAGATACATGTAAGAATTGGAACGGAATGAAGGTTGTATGGAGACATATTCGTTCATTCTCGTATTGCGGCTTATAAGAATTGTGTTGTTAGTTAGGTCTGTACATCTCCTTACAGCGCTGTTCATGCTTAAATCAAATTCAACCGACAATTCAAAGGTCCGCGTTCGCATGTATTCTTTTCAGAACAGATTAACTTTACATTTGAATTTGATATGCATATAACCTCATATCACGAATATAATTTACAGGCCAGTGTTTGCTGGTCTGAGATCCTATTGCACTGGATGCTGCTGCGTCGGTACATCTGCCGTTAAAATGTCTACGTTTTTAAATTCAAGATAACACATTCGTTTAAGATAAGGAAAGGAAGTTGGTCAGAACAGAGCTTTCCCCGAGACATGACAGAACAGTGTCTCACTCATACGCGCACAGCTGCACGCGGCATAAAGATCAGTTCAGTTGGATAAGTGAGAAAGTTTCTCACACATCAGCCATCCTGACGCCTCATTATGTAACGCACAAGACTCGGGGGGGGGGAGAAAGTGAAATAAATGGAAACCTGTTAACAGCTCCGTGTGCCCTTACAGGCTTCTTCAGCAAGTGAAAGGGCAAGAAAATGTTGCAATTCATTCCTAACCATAGAAACTGACCCGCACCTCAGTCAGTGTTGCGTCAATGGGCAGGTTCTTCTCAAAGCAAACACTTCGCAGTATTTCGGATAATTTAAGAAATAAACCGAAATAGTTTATACACCAAACTGAGTTTTATTGTCGTGTTGGGGACACGGTTTTGTACAAAAATATGTCACACTAAAATAGGCAGCACATGTAAGTCATTGTTGACAACTTCGTCAGTCTGCGTTGTCACAACAATGGGCGTCATCTGTGTTCTTTCAACCGTCCATAGTCCTAAATGGCATTTTCTCATTTTTTAACATTCCCAATTTTATTTGACATAAGTCCTCTCTGTTTATCATCCTTAAGACTGTTTTCCTTTTGGTTATCACAAAATAAAACAGTTGTCAACTACTACTTACATGGCGTTTGTGAAATGCAACGAAGACACAAACAGTCTGAATTACTTCCATATGCTTTTCTCCCTGAGCGCTGACAGGTAAAGAAACGGTCTCTGCAGACAAGTTGTGTGATATCAGAGAGGAAGGAACTAGTAATGCTCTAGGGCAGTGCTTGTCAATATTGTTGCTGCTTTCTGAAACAACAGAAATGCTCGATCCCTAATCGATCTTTCACAATTTTAGCTCATTCTTTGTACTAGGAGCTGTGTGTTTTGTATTTTAAAATTTCATAGTAAATCCCGATTTTCCACACCAACTTTTCCTGTTCACCTGTTGAAAGTCATTGCTCTAAAGCATTCACTCTTTTCCGTGGGAATGTTACCTTGCAGATCCACCTGTTGCTTCACTGAAAGTAAGTGAACTGGAAAAATGAAACCTTTGTATAAGTGGTAATTCTGAAGCTACTGCTTGCCGACTTGGTCGACCTGCGCCTGTAAGTTATTGACAACCTCTGGAGGGACATGTTCTCCCAGAATCTCGAATAAGTTGATGCGCTGGTTGCCGGGGATAGACTCGTAAGCTGCCAGCTGAATTCCTTCTTGAACCTTCTGGATAGTTGCGTCCTTAGGGATCAAGTAAGTGTTTTGTGCTTGTCGGATGGCCTCGTTCGTGAAGAAGGCACCCTCTTTTTCTGCCTGTGGGGTCGGCAGGGCCAAAGTGATTCCAATCATCGCCAGTGTTACGATCAGCTTCATTGTTCTGTAACATTGTACATCGAGTGAGGAATTTCGTCCTAAGATGTTGCGCTGCCCCGAAATTAGCCCACGTGGGGTACAAAACCACGGAAAGCATCTGATGAGACTAGGAGACGGCTGCGTCTCTCTTGTTACAGTTCAGTGACACATTAAGGCAATGCCGGACGTCTTTCTACACACGTGTACAAAAACTGGGATGTAAATTAAACTTTTCCTGTGCTTAGCTAATTAAACATCATGAAAATATATGCAGGAGTGGAGGTACAGGGCCATTATTCTTGACCTCGGCACTAGATGGAGCTAAATGGTCAGTTTGACTTCCCGGCTGTTTTGCCGCCCAGGTAATTCCCCTGGTAGTCACTGGACTAGAGTCTGGGTGGTCCCCAGAGCTGACCAGGCTGGTGTGGAGAAGAGAAAATCTCTTGTCCCTGCCAGGAGTAGAACCCCGGCCGTCTAACACATACCCTGTCACTATAGCGACTGATCTATCGCGGCCCCAAAATGGTGAAATGTCTGGATGTACGTGGGTATGTCCAGTCCTCTCTTCACTGACACACCAGCAATAGTCGTCTCGATTATGAACAGCTCCAGACGTGTTATTTTGACAAGATATTGTGACGTGATAACTGAAACATCGACCGCTACTTGGTAACGGCTTGATAACCAAGTGAGACATGGCTAGGTACTGGCTCGCTCACACGTCACGCAACAACAGAGGGTCTGCTGGAGACGGTGTTCTATATGCGGTCAGTGTCTAGGCTATATAGCGAAAGCTAGGAGCTGCGTCCATGAGTTGGATATGAGATGGCACACAGCTGGCAACGATTTGAGCAGAAAAACTGAATATTCTCCAGTGTTGGGAATCGTTGCCTAGCAACGCCTGGTGAAGATATAGAAGATTTTGTGTGTGCTAAAGTACAGTGATTTGTAGAGTGTGCAGATCCGTGAAACTGTTTATTTACGTATAGTTGCGAGTTTTAAGTGTCCAACAAATGCAATTAGTAATCCAAGCCCCGTGTCTATTCACTACCACGTAGCAATTTTTATGCTATTTATGACGAGTTACGTACAAGCACTTTGTGTGCGAGGTCCTACACTACACTTACATGAAAATAACACAACATGGCGGATATACGTATACAGTGTTTATATTTCGTAAGACTTCATATTTTTTTTTTTTCCTTGGCACCACAGCCCCAGTGGGCCTAGGCCTACCTCCATGAACTCGGTTCACTTCGGTTTTTCTAGATCTTACACATACTGTAGGACTCCTTGGGCCGGTGATCAGCTCGTCGCAAGGCCTAAGGTTTCATATACCATTCAAAATTAAAAAGTAAAATAAAATGGAAACAGGTATGTATAATATATTTGGCATTAACTGGTTTTGATACGGACTCCAAATGCATTTTTATATAGAAAAGAGAGAAATTTAGAGGAGCAGGAAGTACTTTTTTATTGTTATTATAACGCAGAATTTCTATTATTTTATGAAAATTCATGTTGGCTGGGAGGCTATCGAAAATAAATCCGGTTGAAGAATATCGTCTTCTGGGATGTGACGCCGCGTATATTATTGCGTAAGCCGACGTTTCGGAGAAACGTATCGCCTCCATCTTCCTCCGAAACGTCAGTTTACGCAACATCTACACGGCGCCACATCTCAGAAGACGGCATCCTTCATAGTCACAGGCATGAAGACCTCAAATCTTGCAAAAATTATATTGCTTTATTCCATTTCGCCAGGAAGCACGCTTTCTTGCGAACACTGTTCTTCCCAGCCTTTGAATTTTCTGAGCAGTGTCCTCGCCATGCCGTGTTATAAGAGGCACATTCCTCGCGCTGAGTGGCATCTGACAGTGCCTGTCGGCAGAAAGTGGGACGAAGTGGTCCTGTTGGACTCTATAAAATTACTTAAACGAGGAAGAAATGCTACTGTACTACACAACAAGGTAACTGGGGAAGACAACCGAAAGGTTTCATTTTCTATCCTCGTCAAAATTTAGTCATTACACTCTATCTATGTATCTATGGCTCTACAGCCCTTGTGGACCTTGGCCGATTTTCAGTTTCTTAGTCTATACACAGTCGACAGGACCCCCTGTACGGGGGATAAGGCCGTCGCAAGGCCGCTACCTACACACAGCACAATCGCAGAATAAAGGCACACAATACAGATATCCATGCCTCGAGTGGGATTCGAACCCACGATCCCAGTGTTCGAGCAGGCGAAGACGGTTCATACCTCAGACCGCGCGGGCTTTAGTCACCACTACACGCAGAAATGTTCTTCACTTCTAATTATCGAGAACACAGACCCGTGAGCATCGCACTGAACTTACCCTGTTCCGACTGCGATGTTGTTTCGAGCTGACTCTGCTCTGTGCTCCGACTTGCAGCAGATTTATCAGTCGCGTCTGCGACTTGCACTTGTTTATATGCCTCCTCCCCACCTCGACTGGGTGAAAAGAGAGGACGACCCTTGCGTCTCCACTTCGTTGACCTGAATCACAGTCATCATCTGTTACCTGTCTACCGAAAGGAGGAAAAGTGGCCCACACGCACGTCTGCCTTTTCGTGTTCAAGCCCAGTTCTTGTGGCCGCTCTCCAGCGCTTGCGTGTCGTCACGCGGTGAAAAGTTCCAGCCTTGTCGAGGGGATTTATGGGCTGCCTTACACGAGCTTAAGGCGGCCAGAACGCGAGGCTTACCATTCACTTGCATGTAGTGCCTAGGTCAATAATTTATGTAGCTTTACCTCGAACTCCCTACACACTGTTTATGTGTTCATTGCTTAGAAACACTCTACTCCTGCTCGGTGCGTAAAGATCTCGACATACGTGTATTTCCAGTCGGGGCCGGTTCTCTCAATCACGTTTTACTCAGGAACATAAACTTGTTAATATTATTTGCTCACAATCCTGATGTTCTGTGTTATGTAGTTCTTGTTATCTCTCCTCGTTTTTGTTTGTTTACTTGTCTGCATTACTGTGTTTTCCTCCAGTGCTTGCCTGTAATTAGTCTTTGACTTTATGTTGTGTCTGTCCATAATGTATTCACTTGTGTCTACACTGTGCTGTGTCTGTAATTGGCCTTGTGGCTGTTGACTCGGCACATAAATAATAATGAATTGAATTTTATACATATAAACAAGAATTTAACAACAATAATTATTGAGTTATTATTGTTATTACGTATTAACTTCTACGTGTGTATGTATGTATGTATGTATGTATGTACATGTATTGCCCTTTCTCGCCACAAATGGCACAACTATTGGAAATGTACTTTTATTTCTCTCACCTGTTAAAGCTAACATCAATTTTTCTTGGAATTGTTAAAACGTAATTTATTGCTATATTGCTATAGATTGTCATAATTTGTATTTTACTCTTTAATTATTTTTATGTATTTCTATGTACTCGTGCTAACTTTGTAACTGGCCTCTGTGCTGTTAAGGTTTCACGTATATAAAAAATGGCCTGTTGTGACATGTGAATCCATTGCGTAGGTATCGGCTTGTTCGTATACTCATCCGGGACGACCAGCTGAACGGTCGGTTATTGGGTAACGGCTAGATAAACGTTTGTTCTCACAGCAACGTAGACAGACGTTTCCTGCACAACGGAGATGTCGTTTTCGTGACAACGAATGCTCAACTGTTCGACTCCATGTTCCCTTTTCGGTACGCCAAGCAAATATAAAGTAGCAACGGTAGCAGTAGCGAAGGGGAAATCGCAATGTGACTTGACTTGACTAGCGAAGAGGAAGAAGAAGAACAAGAAGAAGAAGAAGTGAGTCGGCAGTGATCAGCGTGCTTTCGAGAACCAAGCAGAGCTACGCAACGTTAAGCAGAGGGGCAAGATACAGACAACAGCGAGGAATGTACGCTATACACTTCCAGAATCAAGACCATGGCCTACTTAGGCTAGAAACTATCCTTTAGGCCATTCTTAAGCTTCACGTGTATACGTGTATCCGCTACTCAACACCCAGCAACAAGCTGAATAGGAGATTAGCTCCAGACCCGTCTACTCTAGTTCATTCCAGGGTTGCTCAGTTTGACTCAATCCCCACACCAACTTCATTCTATATGTAGCTTTCACTTGTGCCAATACTGCCATCAAGCAGAGATCAGTGTAAATATGGGCCCGTATGGGAGGTAAAGCGTTTTGCACTTCAATACAGCACATGTTAAATGTTTGTACTCGCCTGATGATGACCAGATAAAATGGTCGAAACATGCTGTGATTTTAATAAAACAAATTGGATGTTATACATTCTCTGTGTTGCGCTAGACGGAACATGATGGTTGATTGGCAACAGTGAGGAATTCGTTATCCAGAAGGAGTTCAACGTGTGAACTGCTATAATCCAGTACAGTTGTAATAGTGACGTCAAATAAACGCAATGATCTAATGTATAATCCATATTCGTCACGCCTACCCCTTACACGTGAGAATACTAAGGCGGTCTAAGGCATTGGCTGTCTTCGCTCCCTCGAACGCTCGGATAGTGGGTTCGAATCCCACTACAGGCATGACTATCTGTCTGCGTTTATTCTGTGATTGTGTTGTCCTGTGTGTGCAGGTAGCGGCCTTGCGACGGGCTGATCCCCCGACCAAGGAGTCCAACCGACTGTGTGTTTGTAATACTCGTGTTGCTCCCTTTCGTACGCATCGTAACAACACGAGGGCAGACACTGATGATTGCATAGCTTTCCTGCTCCCTCAATACAAGCACACATCAACTCACAGTACAGCGTGCACTCGCCACAACACAGAGTCAGAATCTTGCAGGCATGGAGAAAGTAACTGCACGAACTGTGGAACAAACGCGTCGAACTTTGAACCTGTAAACTTTCATTTATCAGCTCCGATTGAAACATGGCACACGAAAGTAATAATTTTAACTGAAACCGTTGATTACAGCTGAAAAATATGAACCTCACAGAATTTAACTACCACTCTCTTTTGTACATGCATATCCGAAACACGCGACTATACATTTCCCACTGCACGGGTTAAGTTCAATCTAGGGAAATTTCCCGCTTTTCCTGGGCTTCCTTTATTGCTTCCCGCGTTGCATCGACAAATTCTCTCGCAAATGCAGTATGTTCACGTCAGTTCGCACGTTTATCAGACCCACACTTTCTGTTTCTTTAAAGCGTTCAGCAGTCAGACTGTGGCTCCCAGTGATGCAATGCGAACAGGGCACTCTCGAAGTTGCAGTCTGTCCTAAGCAACTTTGTCACTCGTCGCTTGGGTCACCATCTTGTTATTAAGTTCAGCGATGCCAACGACAAGAAACAAATTTCACAAGCGTGTAAAATATTCTATGGAAGTTTCAGAAAACTGCGTTTAGTAATAAACAGGTTATATAAATTTTAAGGGTCAGATAACAAAGAACATTCTGTGTATGGCACAGGAATGTCCTCAAAACTCTGAAATAAAACACGATTCAGACACGAGAATAAATCGAATCTATTTAATTACACGGATCTAACGCTGTGAGGCAGTTCAGCTCATTAGAGCTCGGGGCGGAGATGGCAGGGACCCGGCTCACTCATTACGGGCGCTGTTGGCTCAACACGTTAACTTCGTCCGCCTCACCATACAGCAATGTGGTGAGCCTGTATAGTGTTCTGGTCCAAGTCTTCATGTAAATACATGCGATGCCATTTTGAATTCAGCCTTCTTCCATTATTATTATCATTGCAATCACAGTGCTGTATGCACGTTTATAGCCACGTGAATCAACTTTTTAATCAGCTGTTAATAACAGAAGTTCAATTGAGTAGATTGTAACCTAATTTAATCTGATCACGCCAAGAATACTGGGGCACGCGGTGGCGTAGTTGGGTGAGGCGCTATGCTACAAGCCTGAGGTTAGCGTCTTCGATTCACGATAAGGTCACTTGATTTTTCAATTGATCTAATCCTGCCAGCCGCACTATGACCTCAGGGCTGACTGAGCCTCTAACAGAAATGAGTACCAGGGATCTTCCTGAGGGTAAAGGGCGGCTGTCGCCTAATGCTGTCAACATCGCCGCCATCTGTGAGCCGAATGTATGGAGAAAATGTGGGAGCCTCGACGTCTCACAACCCTATGGGCCTCCAAGACCTGCTACAGGGATAATTTTACCTTTACTTTTTAAGGTCAAGAAAGTTGACTGCGTAACACTGGATCTGATGTACACAGTACACGATAGGCATCCTGTTGACTGATTGGACAGGCAGCGAGATAGATCCGTTGCTTGGCAGCAATGTCAGAACTGACGAATGACTACCGCCCGAGATCCGTGGAGCCGAGATTGGGGTGCGATCTGTCTGCTCACTAACGTACGTGTTCTCACGGCAGTGACTATGACTCGGGGGAACACGGGGACCCTATCTTTACGACTGAAGCGGTAAACATCACCAAGACTATGCAGCAATGTGTCTCACAATACAGTAATCATCGAATCCAGTCCAGCCCAGGGCACTGTTCAAGCTTTCACTTAACTTCTGGCACATTCGTACCGAAATGCTTCAAACCTTATTCGCTGCACATAACCACTCGAGAACCAAGAAATCTACCCACTGCATGATCTCCTTAGTCTCCATTACACGCATCCACCACAACATCTTCAGAGCCTCCAACTGCTACCCCACACCTCAACTCACAGTAAATGGAATATCAGAACAGTTCAGTTCTACTCATGCAACCAAAATATTGACTGAGCCATCAAGACCACATCTGGCACCATTTTGCACTAAACCGTAATTAAAATTATTTCTTAATATGTATCCTTGGGGTCGCGCCATAGCGCAAGCGGTTAGTCGCTGGCTTCCCACCGCGGCGGTCCGGGTTCGATCCCGGGTCTGGTCAAGTGGGATTTGTGGTGAACAAAGTGGCGCTGAGGCAGGTTTTCTCCGAGTACTTCGATTTCCCCTGCCAATCTTCATTCCACCAATTGCTCCACAATCACCCTCACCTATCATCTGGGGCTGGTACAATAGGCCCCAAGTGGCCGCAGTACAAGGGACTTAGTCCCACCCCACTAGCAATAAAAAAAACAACTCGTAAATTAGTAAATGATTCACCCACACCACGCCATATCAGTACAAATAACTTATCTCTCTCTGTCTATCCATATATTCCTGTTGGTTCCACTTGTAGCGTAGGGCATCCACCAAACGCCTCGTTTCTTTTCACTTTCTTGAGATTAAAGAGTCGGCAGGACCCCTTGTACGGGGGATCGGCCTTTTGTCACGTGTATTAGTGACTTCTGACATGGGTTTGCCTCGGTGAGTCGATTTATTGGATCTTCGGCAGGTGGAAGTGCAATTAGTTACAACACTTTGAATCTTACTGTAGCTGTCACACTCTGAAGGTCACTCTAACTGCACCGCATACAATAAAAGACTTCGCTTCTGACGTCTTCTTCTGATTTCTGAGTCTGAGTCTTATGTTACGACGGACGGTCAGTCGGCCAGTCTATCTTGGAGTAAAGCACTCATCTGGGGCTTACGATCGGATCTTCATTACTGTCAGACAGTTGCAGGTTTGTTGATGTGGGGCGCTCTCTCTGACGAGAGGACGGGTTTGTCGGTTAAAATTGCTGCGGGCCCTCACCATTCTCGGGTTCTAGTCCCGTGGGACTCGTGACAATATTTTACTCTCTCAGATTCGAGACTTCCCCTTTCGTCGCCTCCTTCGACTCGCAGGGCTACGGTGGAGGTACTTTACCCCGCCTCCACATGGGATAGTCCCTGAACTCACGACTCATTCCTGGTTACAGCTGCCAGGCGGCCGTGAAAGCAGACACCACCTCGAAGGTTTGTATCTGCTCTTGAGATTGCGTTTTGTCGGAAACCACTGTAATCTGCATCCGTGTGTTGTTTGCCAGTCGTTACCTAGTAGTGGCTGACAGTGTTTACCCAGCCGCTGGCTGACAATGGATGTTTGCTTCGACTTCGATATTCCGGAATTTAGCCGGTACGTCACACTGTACAGGGCAACAAAAAACATAGAATAAACGCAGGCAGACATCCATGCCTTGAGTGGGATTCGAATCCACGATCCCAGCCTTCGAGGGTCTGAATGCCTTAAACTGCGCTGCCACTGCAAAGTTAAAATTGTCCCTGTGCCTATCTAATTAAGCACTGCGCCATGAAGGCTTATGGGGCTGATGTACGTATAGGTCCACATTTCCTTGACCTCAGTTTCACGTCCTCTGTCAGTTCAATGTCAATCTTCTTAGAGATTTTTCCTCATGAACCGCCTTCCACTTTATCTTCTATTCAACCTGGACTTCCTTGCTTGTCGTTTTCATTCCAGTCTAATTCTGAAGGGGCTTCACATGAAAATCTCGCATCTTTGCTGTTAACCTGCGTTCAGCGCTATCAGGAGCTGGATACATTTTTTTATTGCTAGTGGAGTGGGACTAAGTCCCTTGTACTACGGCCACTTCTGGCCTATTGTACCAGCCCAAGATGATCGATTATTATTATTAACAACTTTGCTTTATGTTAATGATATTATTATTATTATTATTGTTGTTATTATTATTATTACTTCGTTTGTTTGTTTGCATACTTTTCTGCCTTAATGTGTTTTTCCTCCAGTGCTTGCCTGTAATTTGACTTTATATTGTGTTTGTCCATAATGCATTTTTTTTTAAATTCGCTTAATTTGAAGTAGAGTCCAACTGGGTCCACTCGGCACGGCGGCCACTGATTGGCCTATTGTAGCCTTCCCCGGGTAATTACGAAGATGGAGCAATTGGTGGAATGAAGACTGGCAGGGGAAACCGAAGTACTCGGAAAAAACCCGCCCCAGCGCCACTTTGTTCACCATAAATCCCACTTGACCAGACCCCGGGATCGAACCCAGGCCGCCGCGGTGGGAAACCAGCGACTAACCGCTTGAGCTATGGAGCGGCCTTCCGTAATGTTATCTGCATCTACACTGTGCTGTGTCTATAATTTGCCTTGTAGCTGTTGACTCGGCACGTAAATAATAAAGAATTTAATTATATATGTTTATCCTTAACTTCCTTACGTGCTGTCGTAAATGAGTTGTTTTGTAAACACAATTCAGTGATTACTAATGTATCTTTTGGGGTTGAATTTTAATTATATCCAGTCAAATGATAACATTTTAACTCTTTAATGCCTATTCGATTATTACTAATTAAGTTTTGTTCTAAACAAATTGCACTTACTTCTCTTTGGAGTGTGTTGTATACTTCGTAGTTTGTTCCTGGCCGTGTGGACCCGGTGTGGACTGACTAGTGGGACTAGTGTTTATGTCGTAGTGGGTATGTAGCTCTGGTCACGTGATGTTCCAGGGGAGTGGGAGGGTGGTAGTATGATGTTAGGGGGTGTGACGTGGGAAATGGTTTTCCGATTGTGCATTATTTTGATGGGTATATTTGAGTAGATTTCATTTTAAGTTAAAACATGGGGTTATGTGTATCTGTGAAGGTGCCATTCACCTGTAGCTTCTCTCTGCGCAAATCGTATGAATGAAAAGGCTCAAACGCGTTTAGTAACTGACCCTTCTTTTTTATATGTAGTACTTCCATTGCTCCCTCGAATGTATTGTTTGCTTGTTCTGTGTCAAGTATGTGTTGGGCATATTTTTTAGTTCGCTTGCTTGTGTTTACGACCTGGAAATGCTGCCAAATGTAATTCCTGTCTGTCCAATGTTTCTCAGTGGGCATTCTTTACAATTTACTTGGTAAATGCCCCTCTGGTTGTACATATCAGTTATCTTTGTTGTAGATGATGATGTATTCTATTAGTGGTTTTGAAGGCTGTACTGTTCTCAAATAATTTTATGAACGTTCTCGTTTCGGGGCCGTAATAAGTGAAGGTGGCCCATTTTGTTTTCTGTGCCTTCTGTGAATTTTAAGAGTGAGGTTTGGTTAGTGTAGCAAATGTATTACTCACTGCTGGTAATGGTTGCTTTTTTAGTATTTCTTGTATAGTTTACAATTCTCGGTCTTAACTTCTTGTCGCGAAACAATGATCTTGTAGCCTCAATATGCACGATTCACATCGCTCTCTAAACCTCAAAATCTACTTTTTCCTCTAAATAATTCCGTTCTAAATTCCATTTTTATTCCTTCTAATTATAAATCACTTTTTCTGGAAGCATCTATCCTAAAACAAATAAGATTTCAGTACTGATATTTTTATGTTAACGTTTATTCCTTATAATTATTATGTTTCTGGGCATTATCGTTCGTCCTGTTGTTATTTATAGCATACAGAGTTTCGGAGACTGGATTCCGTCTCCGTCTTCAGGTGGAACCTGCTCGGTTTGGCACAATTGATGGAGCTAGTCCTACCTCCGGAAACCAGCACCAACATAAGACACGATAGACCAAGCATAGATATCCTGTAGTTCTAGACAGATCATGATATTTGAAGTTAGCATCAGATGTTTCTGCACAAGCAGGTATGGATTTACCGTGAGTAACACATACTCACTATACAAACAGAAAGCAAATTCTGTTAGAAATATCTGGCACGGAAGGCGCGATAAATTTGTAAATTAATTAACAATTAAAACACAGTATGAAAATACTTGCAACCCGATTCACTCAAAAACGCACACAGGCAGCAACGAAATTGCGGACGATATCTTCTCACGGGACATGCTTGTCACGTCTTAAAGGAAACGATACATAGACAGTATCTCTGCCGATCCCAGTGGCCCTGCGGTCTAAGGCATGAAATTTCTTCGCACGCTCGAACGTTGGGATCGTGGGTTCTAATCTCACAAAAGGCACTGATGTTTGTCTGCGTTTATTCTGTGTACGTGTAGGTAGCGGCCTTGCGTCGGGCTCATCCCGCGTCCAAGGAGTCATACCGATTGTTTAAGATTTAAGCATGAGTAAAAGTAAAAGTAAAAAGTAAAGCTGTCCCTGTAACAGGCCCTGGAGACCCATAGGGTTGTGAGACGTTGAGGGTCCCACAGTATCTAGACAGTCGGCTCACAGATGGCGGTAAGGTTGTCAGCCTTACGCGCCGGCCGCGCTTTACTCCCCAGGAAAATTATTTAATTAATTCCTGGTACTCCTTTCTGTTAGAGGCTGAGTAAACCCCAGGGCCTAGTGCGGCTGGAAGGATTAGGTCAACTGAAAAGAATCCAGTGACCTCCTCAGGACTTAAACCCGCGACCTTCCGGTTTGTAGCATAGCCCCTGAACCAACTACGCTACCGCGCAAATAAAAAGTATTTATAATAGTAGTAGTAACAGGAATAATTTAAAAACCTCGAAATTTGTCTCCATTATCCCCACTCTAAGATATGAGAAGCTGGTTTGAACACATTTCGTGTGATTCTCAGAATAAACTACATTTATCCCTAAGCAGCATTAACCGGTTATTCTTTGTAATAGATATGCAATGTGCGTTCTGATGTACAAACTGAATTAACAAATGCTCTTTAGAAAAATTTCACTCTACAAAAGATCAGATATTGCAGCATCCGAGACGCTGAGGCCGGTTTTTTTTTTAATTTGCTTAGTTTGGGGTGGAGTCCAACTGGGTCCACTCGGCACGGCGGCCACTGATTGGCCGGGGAAACTGAAGTACTCTGAGAAAAATCCGCCCCAGCGCCACTTCGTCCACCACAAATCCCACTTGACCAGACCCGGGCCGCCGCGGTGGGAAGCCAGCGACTAATCGCTTGAGCTATGGTGGGGCGATGCTGAGACCGTTTCATACACTTTTTTATCAAGTCTAAAGTATCCATGTTGGCCTCCAGATGTCAGCACCCATTGTATTCTATGACAGTGCCATCTAGCGATGAGAAGAATATACCAGGCGCATATTACATCTTATAATTGAATGAAAATTCGGCGGTGGGTTTGCCTCAGTAGCATGACTTGTGTAATAAACAAAATTAGCGTACAGCAATTATACACAAATGGGGAAGAAAAGGAATGCATATAGGATATTGGTGGGAAACTCAGAAGGAAAGAGACCACTGGGAAGACCAAAACGTAGGTGGATGGACAATATTAAAATGGATCTTGGATAGGATGGGATGGTATGGATTGGATTGATCTGGCTCAGGATATGGACCAGTGGAGGGCTCTTGTGAACACAATAATGAACCTTCGGGTTCCATAAAATGCTGGGAAGTTCTTGAGTAGCTGCAGATTTGGCTTCTCCTCAAGAAGGGCTCAGCTCCATACATAATTAATTATACACCATTATCTCTGAAAATTTCTAAAACTTTTCAAAACAATGGAATGTTACTGTCACATCGTTCGCTTGCAAACGCTTGATTCTATTAATAATCGTGAAGTAGAAACGGTGGAATTTGTTGTGAAAATCGTAGCTTACAGAACCACAATTTGAAGTCTGGTATTCTCTCAACGTGAACAATTGTGTATTCGTTATTACTATTAATTTCCTCAATAGCAACATTTATTTCATTGTAATCCCCCTAATGTCATTAGATAACAGACATAGATTTTTATATTAAAAATATTTCAATTATCACTTACTCACAAGCCATAAACGCAACCCATGGCAGCTCACATATGATTTTGATAACTGTTTCTTTTATTTAGGCACTGGACAGATGCTTTTGCTTGCCGCCTGCTTTGGACTACAGTCTTATATCCTAACAGACAGATTCTTTGCAGTCACTTCTGTGAGAACCTCAGATGCAAGTATCTGAAAGCCTGAGAATTTCATAGTTTACATAATTTAAGTTCATTGATTAAATACAAGAGTTGACATAGCTGTTTTTAATTATTTTTCAAATATATAAACACAGAGTAGCTAATTCAGCATCTAAGTCCTTAAAAATATTGAACCAAAATGAATTGCCTGTCATTGTTCTTGAGTTGGTCAATGCTTCTATACTTTATTGATGGGTATTGTTACACAAAACCCTCAAGATTCTCCGCTGCATAATCTGTAATAATCTCTTTGCTAGACCCATGAAGAGCACCAGTTACTTGCTTCTTCCTTTCGTTTATTTCAGGAAAGTTTATAATTTTGACTAAGTAAGCAGAGAACATGAGACAGCCCAGCCCAGAGTCTTAATAGAGTGAGAAGTACATTAAAATGCTACATGGGAATAATGGAGTCCTTGATCAGAGCTTGGTTCTTAGTCAGAATTAAAGATTGAGAGGTATATCAGAAAGACAGTATAATAAACCTCTTTGGGGATCTTCGGTGTATCCATTTTATTTTAACTAATGTTGTAATCATTCAAGTGACCAGTGTACAATAATCTTGCAGTGGAATCACTGCTATCTTTACATAGTTACTTCAAACGAAATTAGTTTATTTTGTATTAGTTGTGGTGATTCACAATAACACACTCCAGCAGTTACCTTAATTTTATAACTGCTGTAATTCTTTTACAGCCAGCTGCATTATCATGCATTTGAAAGAAACAGAATGAACTGTTCGATTGCCCATGATAAGCTCCAGCCACCTGTTGGTGCCCTGAGTACTACTCACTTCACTTCGTGTCAGGGATTGTTTTAACACTTCTAAAACTCATACCTGTCACACCATCCTCTTTCCTGTTTCTGAACAGACTTGGATCAACTGACATTCCAGCTGTCAGGCTCACTTCTGACTGGTGGTTAGTTCCTAATCGAGATTTAATATTTGGTACATAAATTAATGAAATTCTACACAGGAAATTGGCTCAGAGTGAAGATCTGAAGTTTGCCAGAGATCGAGGGCAGTAAAATATGGTCACGAGTCTTATGGGACTCCAAACCAAGAATCACTGTGCTGTCGAGGGTCAGCAACAATTTAGCAATCAGTCAGGTTATTGGCTCAATCATCTGAATGGGAGGGCACGGCATGAGTGATGGTTAACACTCTCTGAATAAAGACATGTTAGCACTGCCATTGGTACTTCTCGACAAACTGTGAAATATCGGCACCTTACCTGCCAGTTCGCCAGGGTTGCTCCCGCCTGAGGGCAATAAAAGCTAGTTGCTTTCCCCCCCTTCCATTTACCTTACCCATATTTGTATGAACATATGAATGAAGTAATTTGCATCAAATAAATCACAATATGACTCAACTTTCCATTACCCTTCTATGCATCACATAAATACCGGCTAGTCAGCTTTATGCAATCCAAAAACAGTATATAATAAAACTTGTGTAATGGCTGCAGGCCCCTCTAAGATGGTAAAGATGACTGTTGATAGTGTCCTTAAGATCTAGGTACTAAAACCATTTTCTGTAGAAAAGGAAACACTGTAAAAATTACAGAGAATCCACAGTAATAAAAGGAATATACCCTGTTAGACTCACAATGAAATGAAATTATAAACAGTATTACAAAAAGACTTTATTCCTTTCATCAGCATTAATATTATCAATAATTACATGAAGTGTGGAAAGTAATTCTAAAATGCACCGACAATGATGGTGATAAGCAGAGATTTGTCGACATAGGAATTACAATGAGTACATGTCTGCACACTTGCAAGAGGAATGGAAATCATAAATAGCACAGCCCAGCAAGTCTTCTTCCTTTCATGAAACAAGGTGCACCCCAACTTATTTTTGCCACTGCGTCTTGTTCGGGGAGAAGCAATAACTGTATCTCCCAGAACGAGACATTGCAACATGTAACTGGAAATGTCCAATTGCTACAGCCCTCTGAAACCCAAATCTTCAGCATACTTTATTGCAGAAATTAAGCTGATATTTGTAAGAGACATTTTCAGTAACTCCTCAGTAAGAGATATGAATTGAGACTTTCCATATATTTATCATTTAACATGTGGATTATGTAGATTGCATTAATATGAATATTTGTTTGGGAATGAAGAAGACAGAATCTCATGCAAATTCTAGATGGTCTTGTGCCATGTCATTAGAATCTGTGATACCGCTGTAATTTTTTTCTGTACCCTGAAAATGTATTTACACATGTTTACAAATTTCTTATTGTTCGGCCTTCACTTCAGTGGACTCAAGAAATCAAAAGTATTTTTCCTTCAGCTTTTATAATCCTCTTAGTTGGTGAGGTGTGTCTGTTTTCCAGCAAATCAATGTAAGCCATGCTGTTTAATTATAAGAGTAATATGACTGTATTTCATTAGTACAATATGTGAACTGTGTAAGTTGTGGTTTAACCCTACACAGCGCAATGGTAACCTTACGTTATCCACTTGCTCTAACATTAAATAATTTGGCACTTTGCAATGTGCATCTGTGCATTTTGTATGATCTTCAAAATGAATGGTGATCCTTTGCCAAAACAGTATTAACTCTATAATATTTCTAATCCAAAAACAGTACAACTTATTTGAGGTAGGAACTAGATTTAATATTAGTTAGATGAACTTCATGTTTGAAGGGTTAAAACTACTATTGCTTCCTTTACCTTAAGTGTGATTTGGGAGAAGATTATTATTTTGTTTCCATTTCCAGTATGTGATAAAGAAAAATTTATGTCTCATGACAGCAGAATATCATGAAGAATAAATAACAAAAAAAAAATACTTATATATTCTTAGTAAATACTGCTTCAAAAATTGGTTGCACTTGCATTCATTATTTCCGTTTAGTGAGAACAACTTTGTAGTTTATATATTGATTCCCTTTTGTGTCTACACAGAGAACTCCGATTTTCCATTTATTCTGAAAAATGAGAATATAACATTGTTAAGACCTGGAAGTTGATTACACTAAACTCCATGGTTTCCATAACCTAATGATTCTGCAGTTAATCAAATCCCAATACTAGTTTTTATACTTAAGAAACTTTCAGTGCGTCAATAAGCTGATATGTTCATGTGAATATTTCCAACATATTTAACATACTGAAATTTTCAGTAATTTTTATCCTCCATTTCTTTTGATAGCCATTCTTCTAAGCTTAAAAATTTATCATGCATGAGAAAATGAGACACAATTTAAAAATGTTCTAATGCAACTGTCACCTTTCTCTCATGATAAACAAATGTGAGAGCCACCCACATTGAATTAAGCGCTAGCCAATCGGAATGGACCATGGGAGCTCCAACGCCCATTGGTTCGTGTGCCACCTTGAGGCAAAGTATAAAATGCAGATCTCCAACACACCAGCAGCAGTTGCAGCTAAGGTCTGCATCAACACAGCAGAGCAACAATGAGTCTCCAAGGATCAACACTGCCAGGCCGACTCTGCACAGCATCAGCAACTCTCCTGGCAGCAACATGCGCACTCAACTCTGCTAGCAGTCTCCTAGACCCACCGACAAGTTCACTGCCCAATGGCTGGCCAGCAATCACCGAGCTGCCACTCAAGGAAGACTGCCGATGTTAGCACAGGCATGCTCAGCCTCAGACATATGGCCCATTTCAGGGACCACAACACTTCACCTGTTACCACACCCTCTGCCAGTCTGCTCATCTCTATACTTTGTTAATGCATCAACAAACATTTGTAACAGAAATTTATGTGGTTGTCTCTCCATGCCACTGGATTTGACACACCACATTGGAGACCCTGACGAAGAAAAATGCAAAATGCAGACAGCTCAGTATCAGCGGCTGTGCAGCTTCTGCCGTTCTGGGCTGAGCGGCCAGCCGTGTGGTCCACCCAAGCCGAGGCACAGTTTACCTTGGCTGGCATCAGTAGCGAGCAGACCAAGTTCTGCTATGTGATCTCGCAGCTGGACCAGTGGCACACCAAGGAAGTAGAGAATATCACCCCCTCTCTGCCAGAATGAGACCCCTATACCAAGCCTATGAGGCGGCTGGCCCCCAAGACAGCAACTCAAAACATCCCAGTTTCTCAGACCCCTCAGGAGCCTTGCCCCACATGTGCCAGCTGACTTCCTCTACAGCATCTGGTCCAGCTGGCTACCACCCACAGTATGGGCCATTCTCTCTGGTCAGCCCGAGAGCAACTTGAAAGCCATGGCCGGCTCGGTAGACTGCATCATTGAGGCTGCACCCTAGCCAGCGCTTGCAAGCGTTGCATTCCTGCAGCAGATCAAGGACCTCTCCGCCAGGTGGCAGCACTCAGCACAGAACGGCAGCACATATACAATCCAAATGAAATCAATTAATAGGTTTTATGTATAAAAAGTACCATATATCGTCTTTATGTACTTATGTTAGCAAAGGCATGCCCTGTCTTTCACCCTTAAACTACTTTAGATCATATCACAAACGTGCGGAACTTTAGTTTTTAGAGCACTGTAAAAAATATGCATTAGAAACGCATTCTTTGATGGAACAGAATGGATCAGCCTTACACTAATGAAGTTACTCTGTTGAATCATTTTCTTCTTGGGAATCTGAAAGGTCATATAAAGCTTGCTCTATTTTCACTATAGCCACACTTTCATTTTCTAACTTTGTGTCTTGGCTGTTTGCTTCTTGATTGTCTTCCACTGAATTCTGAGCTTTTACTTCAGAAAGATCTGTAGTTGCATCACTGTTATCAACATTTTCTGACAGCCCTGGTGTTGTTGATTCTAATGTGTTCTCTGTTCTATTTGTTGTTGTTGCTGTTGCTTCAGTAGGTGGTACAGTAGTGTCAACATCTGCAAACTCCTGTGAAGAGCTTTCTGTGTCATCATTATCCCTGCTTCTGACAGTAGTTGTGTCTGCAGATTGCTCTACACTACTGGGGTTAGTTACTGTCGAAGTGGCTACACTGCCCACATCTGTATTGTGCGAGATTCCTGACTCAGAAGACAAAACATAATAGTCTCCTGTTCCATAAATATCATGAAAATTCATTTCGTAACTACCACTAGAATACATAGCTGATTCTACTTCCTTTACATACACAGACTCACCTGATGTAGGTCGATCATAATCAATGGGCTTATCTTCAGTACTTACAGACTCTGGGTAGATCTTGTCAAATTTGTTTGATGGTTTGGCCTCTGACTTTTCTGCATTATAATTCGAACTTTCAGTTTCATCAGACCCACCCAATCTACTGTCTCCACTGATGGCAGAATTCTCTTGAGGTATGACATCTGAAATGCTGGCACCAGTGCTTTCCCATTTACCAATTTTGTCTTTCTGTTGTGAGATGGGATTCTTCTGAAATGGCATTTCGGTTCCACGTTCACCACTCGCCATATCCATCTTCTGAGAAGTAATATCAGTGTCATTATCCTCTGTTGTTTGGTGCTCATTAGCTAATGTCTGAGAATCATTTCTGTTGGATGGATTATCAACAAATTTATCTGTGCTGTCTAAACTGTTAGGAGTTGTCAAAGTGCTTTCAGTTGTGGATACAACTTTAGTGATGTCATTTTCTTCAGATTGATCAGCTGTTTCTCTACCTCTAGGTTCGCAGGAGTATCCGCTATTGTCAAGGCTGCAATTATCTTCTTCTCTGCCGCCATTCGCTTCGGTTTGAGATGCATCAGATTCTAAGAGCGCTGCTTTTGTATTTGTTTCAGTTGTAAATTGGCTAGTCTTCAACCATTCTTTCGGTAATATATCTGATGTTACAGATATATTTACTGTTTTGTTACTCTTGAATGGAATTACTGTAGCCAAGATCTTCTCACTGAATTGTGCAGCTTCTGTTGTGGAATATGTAGTTCCTTCAGTCTCATCTGAAGAAACTGTACTCACTACATTCTCTGTGAAAGCTTCACTGATGGCTTCTGTGCGTGAAATGACTTCATCACCTTTTTTGGGTACTGCCTTACTCTCCTCCATATTATTGCTGTTACTTATTGAATTTGCTGTCATAACATCTTGCAGCTCCTCATTTGAATTTGTCTCTGTATGTTCAGTTGTTTGTGCAAATTCCTTGAAGTTCAGTGGATGTTCCCCGTCCAAGATGTCTGGAGTTGTAGATTCATCTATAGGACTAGTAAATTCCTCATTTTGTGCTTGTGTTGGATCATCATGCTTTACAAGTGAAGACATTGACAAATGGATTTTCGTGGTGTAAGCAGTTGCATCTTGGGTCACTGTGGATTCAATTGTTTCTGTCGTTTCAGTGGGTTGAAATTCCGTTGTAGCCTCAGCAGTGGGGGATGCTGTAAAAGGGGCAAGACTAGATTCATCTGTATTTATATCTTCAGTTCCCTCATTTGAATTCTGAAAGGTCCTGTCATAATCTTCTTTTGTATTCTGACCATCTATACTGTTATTGTTTGTCACGTGGCTGTACTGTGAACTGATAACATCTTCTGATTCTGCATCAATCACTGGATTTATCTCTGTCTTTTTAATATCATAGTCATCTTGCATCTTGTTGTTGTCTGAATCTGGCAACACAATAGCCATGTGGGGTGCTTCCATATCATTCAGAAACGAGATCACAGGTACTGTGTCCACGGACTCATGCTCCATTGACTGTGTGTGCCTATCAGGGACAATAGTGGTGCTGTTGTTTTCAAAACTAGCAGTTTCTGTGTTGTCTTCATCATATTTAGTCTCATCCATTTTGACACCTTCTGTGGACTCAGTCAGGGTTCTTTCTGTGCTCACTGCGGTTTCATACTGTGGGGATTCCGTTCCACCGGCACCGTCTTCATCTTTACTTTTGCTTGTAGTTATTTCATGCCGTTCTGTTTCTTGAGATGTCTCATATTTTACCGATTCAGCAGAAGACTTTTTGACCTCTCCAATATACCACACAGCTCCGCCATCTTTCATCATGCCATTAGCATCAAAAGGGTGTACCAGAGTTTTTGTCGCATCAGCTGGATTCACCTCTTCACCCATACTGCCACTATTGTGATGATTTTGTGTTGTAGTAGTCTCATCAGACCAGGCTCCTGCAATTTCGTTTTTCATCTTCCCTGATGAAATCTCTGTCTTGTCTTCTTCAGTACTGAACATAGCATTGCTTGCATGTTCAGTAGAGACATCAGTGTGTTCTTGTTGGGGTTCCTCTCTCACACTTGTGCTCTGTGTATAACCCTCAGTGTTGTCCTGCTCTGCACTTGTTTCTCCAGTGACTGTACTTTCTGTATTTGCCTCGATGCTGTCATGCTGCAGCCCTTCTCTGTCACCCTCTCCACCCTTGCTTGTATTCTCAACATATGCCTCAGTGTTCTCTTGGTCACCCTCTTCTCTCTTACTTGTTTCATTTGCATGGCCACCCAAGTTGTCTTGCCGTACTCCTGCTTTGTCAATCTCTTCAGCCTTGCTTGGTTCTACAGTGCTTGTACTTTCAGTGTAAGTCTGAGTGTTGTCTTTAGATAGTTCCTCTTTGGCACCCTCTTCTTCAGTATTTGTTTTTGCAGAGGATGGTTTTAATGAACTATATTCACCATAATTATTTGATGTGTTTGTTAGTGGCATGGAACTATCACTGTTTTCTCCTAACAGTTCTATCCACTTAGAAGAATCCACAATGTTGTCTTGGATATTCTCCTGTAAAGCATTCGGCGTATTTCCAATACCAGCCTCATAATCAACCGAAGAGGACTTCACTGATTCTGACAAAGTCTCAGGTGTTGTGTAAAATATCATTGGGGTTGGGTCTGTAAAGATATACAAATAGATTAAAAATGTTCTCAGATAGAGTATCAAAGATATTTGCAACAGGAAGCCTGCATCAAGTTAAAACAGTCATGGTAGAGAAGTGCACAAACTGGAAAAAGAGCTGGTTTGCTTGGACGTGGCACTCACCTACAGGTGGGCAGTGGTCATACTTGGGGCAGCATTTGCCAGTCACATAGCGGGGCACACAGTCTGCTCGTGTGTAGCACTTGATCACAGTACACACAATTTCTCCACTTTGACAATAGCAGACTCTGCAGGGTGAGTCAGGGTCCTCCAGGCGTTCACCATTCTGATAAATTTTGCCATCTGCCTCACAGTCTAAAACATGTAATACAGTGTCAGTTTGCCAAACAGAAAATCCTGTCCTTGGTTTCCAATATCTCACAGCTGTTTCTGCATTCTTCCAGAATGGTACTGGGAATTTTGGTGTAGGGCAAGCTAACATATGAATTAACGAATTAACACAGGCCTGAATTAATATTAATAGTAGAATTAAAAGATATAATATTTATTAAATGATATTTCAATCGTTTTTCAAAATCACATTTATTAAATGGTACTCAGGGTGCAGACTGAAATTGGATGAAAAGGAATTCTTCACTAAATCTCCCAATGAGGAAACCATATTGCTGAAAAATCTCATAAAAGCATGCATAGACATACACTGTATTAACAACATGCCCTGTATTTGTAATGTAAATGTTAACTTGCATTAATGCACATTATACCTGCCCCATGTCTGTGATCAGATTGTGTTGACAAACAGTGTGTCAGGTAACACGTCACACATGCAGTGGCCGCTCACCACATCACAAGTTTTATGAGAAAGAAGTGCAAAAATGGGTTGGGCATGCAACAAGAATGCAGAAAACAGGAAATTATTAAAACAGTAGTTAAGGAACCTACTTGGAAAATAGAATTTTGAAGACTAAGAAGGGGATGATGAGGGTGCTCAAATATTATTTATTCACAGTTCTTAACTTCACATATTAGTGTCAATGTTCATTTCTGTTTCACTACTCATGACATGAAGGAGCTGTGCCTGCAGGTCCAAACTCACATTCACACCACCTTCATACATCAACGCAAGACACAAAAATTTGTAGATCTTTCACATATGGGCACATGCCCTAATGGACTGCTTACACACAGTGGCTGCAAGTTAATTCCTACTCATGGTGTGGATGTATGCCCACATTTTTGTGTTACATTGGTCTGTGTAGGTTGAGGCTTTGTTAAGGGTCAATCCCCCATCCAGCAAGTCTATATATGAAAAAGCAATTCTAGTCAGAACAGACCAAACAGACAAATCTGTAAAACATGAAGTTAAAATGATTTTGAGTGGGTGCTTCTTGCTGTGTTTATTATATAAAATTCTTTATTAGGATCTGGTGTAAAGCAACAACAAAGGGGTCTAGGTCACCTTAGCCACATATTTTGGCTTTTAAAGACATCATCAGGCAAATGCATGGTTACTACACTCACACACTGTTGCAGTGCATTTCAGTGTGATGGTACAATGGACCTGGATACTTGCCAACTGTTATACTACAATAATAGAAGATATAGAAATAAAATAAAATTATAAAACTAAAGTTATACAATGAAATATGGTTAAAAACCATTCATGTAATGTTTCACATTATGAAGTGACTTATTGCGATCTTGTTGTTATATTCCAGGGACACATAGCGGTATGTTCATGACTTGTACACAACTGCTTGGAGGCCTGTGGTATTAGTGTAGTACTGTTTGGTATTTACTGTTTAGCCCTGCCTCATTTTACAGTGTATTTTGTCTGCCCTGGTTGGAATAGAGATAGCAACTGATTTAGTCACATATGATGTTTGTGAAGTCGGTACAAGGAAGGGAGGGGAGGGGGAGGAAGAGGTAGGGATAGGGTGTGTGAGGATGTGGTGGGGTAGGAGATGTAATTGTTTATGTTCGGTATGCATCAATTACCACTTTATATATAGGGCTAAAAATTTCAGTAAAATTATCATTTAGTTGTATATTTTGTTTGCTGACTTCATGAATATGAAATCTTTCCTAAGTATCCAGTGATCGGCCTTTCTTACCGATATATAAAAAATTTCCGTGATTTTGGCCATCGCGCTGTATTCGTGTGTGGTGTCTAATATATGTTGGGCAAATCTGGAGTTTAGCCCATTACTTTTTTATCAGTTGTGTGTTCTCTGGATCTAATTTTAAAGGTTCGTCCAGTTTGTCCTAAATATTTCATTAGACAGCACATTGTAGCTGGTAAACTCCACTAAGGTTGTATGTAAAACCCTAAACTACGTTTACAACGCAACGGATCCCCATGGCCGTTAATCTCCGTTTGCTAGACCGGAGCCGCTATTTTCTTGAAACATCTCAATTATGCTGACGAGACTGAGTGGACCCCGTTCCAGACCCACTTCTCATAAAATCTGGTAGCGCCGGGAACCGACCTCGGGACCTGTAGCCAGGAACTCTAACCACTAGACCACAGGGGCGGTCTAATTTAAAGAACTATCCTGGCACTTGCTTTGAGCGGCTGGGAAAATCACGAAAGCCCTCATTCACGACATTCTGTGCCATGGACGATATTCGAAACAGGCCCTCCCGCATGCATGTCGGAAGTGTTGCAAGCGTTAACCAGCTTCCTTAGTAGGATCATCAGAAGAACCCTCCGGTTCTGCAACGGCAGATACAGCTACCTACTGTTTCATGAAAGCAGCCAAACAATGCCACTTACCGCACTTGTATTCCGGGCAACATTCGTTGGGGCGCGGGATGGCCCGGCAGCCAGACTTCTTCTCACACTTGATGGCCTCACACGCGATGTCAGGCGGGCGGCATACGCACCGTTCACACAGGGTGGCTGTCGGGATGGGGTCATCTTCCTTGTACAGAACGTCGTCAGAAACACACACTGCGAATCATAATCATGCAAGCGGGTATCACGCATTGCTGCCACCTGTGCCTCATGAGTACCAACTTCATTCAACATAGGCCTGCGGATGGAGACGTCGTTTCTAATCTTCATCATCCGAGTGACAAGGCACGTAACGATACTGGCCTACTGCCAGAGAACACACTGTCCCTGCAGGATTCCTACTGGAAATAAATACATTTGGTCATGCTCACAGCCTTATCTGTAAGCATGTGCAAAATCGAATCGAGAAAAATAAATCTCGACTCGAACAGTGATTTTCTGTCTCGAACTTCCTGAATGTTCAGTAACTGCCTTTGCCGTCGGAATCGCCACGGTTTGCAACGCTAGCACGAATTGCCAAAAGCGACAGGACCCTAGAACTGATTTCTTAATACGTATCAGAACCCTTTAGTGAGTTGTGTAAAAGTTGTAATTACATTGTGCTGTGATTACAGCACAATGAAAAGAGTGGGGGCCTAAGAAAGAAACTTCTCGTCCTACTTTGGATTCTCTATATTTTGACGTGTATAGCTAGGCAACGGCGCGATAAACACCTCGCGTAAGCGCACTCAACAATAGAGCAAATGTTTATAGTTCGTTGCTAGGCAACAGTCAGCGTGCCAATGGGCTGGCGAGATAGCTACCGTGTGACTGGTTTTCTATAGAATCCGCGCCGCAACTGTTACTATGCAATGGTTCGGTAAACATGTATCAGCAACAGAGGCTGTGTTTTCTGCGTGTTCCGTGCCTAAGGCTTATAAGAGAAGTGAATGCAGTGACAGACAGNGTACCTAGCCTGGACTGACGGAGGCCGTGTAAATATTGTACATTTATATAAGTATGTATTGCAAATATGTGTAAATACAGACAATGGACAAATTACTACAGACTGACTAACAAATGACAGACCCGACCTCTCGTCAGAGAGGGCGCTACACATGGACAGGACAGTAACTTTCATACAAAAGAAATATCTGGTCATGAGCCCCAGCTGGGGCTCGACACCAAGACAGACAGACTGACTGACCGTCAGTGGTAACGTGACTCTGACTCTGACAGACAGACACCCGTGTGGAGGCGGGGTCGAATACCTCCACCGTGACCCTGCGGATCGTAGGAGGCGACGAAAAGGGAAGTCTCAAATTTGAGACTCGGACCCGAGAAAGACTGCGCTGCCAAGGCCAGCAGCATATATATAAGACACGCCCGTCCTCTCGTCAGAGAGGGCGCCCCACCAAAACAAGACCGTAACTGTCAAACAGTAATAATTATCTGGGGCTCGACACCAAGACTTACTGACTGAGTGACCGTCAGTCGCAATGTGACTTTGACAGACAGAAACCCGTGTGGAGGCGGGGTCGACTACCTCCACAGTGACCCTGCGAGTCGTAGGAGGCGACGAAAAGGGAAGTCTTAACATCTAGGACTTACTGCCTGCCCGTCGGTCGCAATGTGACTTTGACTTCGATTCAGCCGTAAGCTGGCGGAGCGGATTGAAACATGGAGCTCAGAAGAGGCCGGCCTGTGAAGATTTCGCATGTGCGGGAGTGTGTAATTCGGTGAGATTTGTGTGGCCCCGTGTTATAAATACGTGAAGATTATCGCGTAGTGACTGGAAATTGTGTTTACCCGCAACATGTAATAATTGTGAACACGACTAGCGCACTTACCAATCCGAACTCCTCTCTAGTCACTAATACACATGACAATATTTTTCCAAATTTCATCTCGATTCCGCTTTTGGTGGGGGGGGGGTTAGGAGTAATGTTGCTGGAGATGGAAACCTACACCTTCGTTGGCGCAACCAATCGAACTGACGACGCAAGAGGAACGTGGGGGTCGGACGAAGAATCAACTTACCACTTTCGTTTGCGAACTGCTCGCCGCTCCTGTCGAAGTATAAGTTCTCCCTGTTGATCGGCCCTGCGAACAAACAACATGATGAGAAGTAATCGACACTGACCATTATCCGCGGCGGTCTCTGGTGCTCTGCGTTTCTCGCCAGATCTGAGACAGCCAGCTTATACAGGTTTGCCTCAACTGTTCCGAGCCGGACAGCTCAGTCGGTATACAGACGGGCTGTGGGCTAGACGGCTGGGGTTCGGTTCCCGGCAGGGACATGAGACTTTATCGTTTCCACAACGTCCACACCGGCTCTGTGCCCACCCAGCCTCCTATCCAGTGGGTATCGGAGGCTTTCCCACGGGAATAAAGTGACTGGGGCGTGAAGCTGATCACTCAAGAGGTCAAGAATGCTGGGGCTATACAACCCCTCCCCCATGTCTTCATGACGTGGCGCTCAGCTGATTAAACACGGGGACAACTTTACTTTTTACCTCTAACTGAAGCAACTATGCTATAACTGCAGATTCAGCTCCTACGTCGTAGAAAACACACAGTTTCCATTACAAAGCAAACTGATTAATGACATCAAAGCCGTTTTATCCAGTGGGAAAACCGGGCAGCTGCCCGGAACCCACGTTTTTAGGGGTTCCCACTGAGAAAATCAAGAGCAGCAAATGAAGCAACTGTTTCGCGTTACTTTTATTTACAGTCTCTAACGGCCAGTTGAGCTTGAGTTGCATACACATGCATCTAAAGGAAGCGCAGAGCAATTCTCTCTTTGCTTTCTGAGTCGAGATGTCTGTATTTCAAACTTGTGGTTTGAGTGTGTAGCAAAAAAAAAAAAAAGAGAGAGAGAGAGAGTAAAA